TAAGGATCTTGAGATGGGGAGATGATCCTGTGTTATCTAGGTGACCCTAATGTCATCGCAAGTGTCCTTATAAGAGGGAGGCACATGGGTCAGTCAGAGAAGGAGGTTGGAGTGATTTGGGGCCATGAACCAAAGCATGTGTACAGGGTCTAGAGCTGGAAAATGCAAAGATTCAGGTGGAAAGACAAGTCAGGTTTTTCTCACGGAGCCCTGGAGGGAGTCTAAGGATTCTTTTCTTTCTTTTCTTTTTTTTTGAGTCAGGGTCTCACTCTGTGACTGAAACTGGAGTGCAGTGGCATGACCGTGGGTCACTGCAGCCTTGACCTCCTGAGCTCAGGAGATCTTTCCTCCTCAGCCTCCCGAGTAGCTGGGAATACAGGTGCATGCCACCATGACCGGCTATTTTTTAAAAAAATGTTTGTAGAGACAGGGTTCTAGCTATGTTACCCAGGCTAGTCTCAAACTCCTAGGTTCAAACAATCTTCCCACCTTGGCCTCCCAGTGTACTGGGATTACAGGCGTGAGCCACCATGCCCAGCCTGGGTCTGAGGATTCTTAACTTGGACGTAACCTTTCTGGTTTTTAAGAAAGAAGATTTAGGCTGGCTGTGTGCTCATGCCTATAATCCCAGCACTTTGGGAGGCCAAAGTGAGAGGACTGACTGAGCCCACGGGTTTAAGACCAGCCTGGGCAATTGGCAAGACCACATCTCTACAATAAATCAAAAAATTTAGCTGGGCATGGTGGCATGTGTCTGTGGTTCCAGCTACCTGGAAGGCTGAGGTGGAAGGATCATCTGAGCCCAGCTGGTCAAGGCTGTGGTGGCCAAGAGCATGCCGCTGCACTCCAGCCTGGGTGACAGAGTGAGACTGCAACTCAAAAAAAAAAAAGGAAGCAGATTTGTCAGCCAGGTATGGTGGCTGTAATCCCAGCACTTTGGGAGGGGGAGGCAAGAGGATTGCCTGAGCCCAGGGGTTCAAGTCCAGCCTCGGCAACTTGATGGAACCTCATCTCTACAATAAATTAAAAAATTAGCTGGGTGTGGTGGTACACACCTGTAATTCCAGCTACGTGGAAGGCTGAGGCAGAGGGATTGCCTGAACCTACCAGGTCAAGACTGTGGTGGCCATGAGCGTGACACAGTACTCCAGCCTAGGCAACAGAGTGAGATTCTGACTCAAAAAAAAAAAAAAAGCAGATTTGTCAAGGCAGGACTCACATATTGAATGATTTGCTAGCTTGAGTTACAAAACTGAGATAGTAACATATGGCTCGGGAGCCTCCATTTGTACTCTTGTGCCAAGCCCCACAGAGGTTTTTGGTGGACCTGCCCAAAGCCTCAGTTGGAAAAGTCTGTGACAAAACCCCCTCGTGCTAATGGTGCTTCAAGGGGGAGGTTAAAGGAGGAAGAGGCAGCTCTGTGAAGGGAGTGAAGTGGGGCGGGCAGAGAGAACAGCAGTTACTGGAGCGAGACACAGAAGAGGAGATGGATAAGGAAGTGCTGAAGTCCTCAGGATCAGATATGAGAGGCTTGCAGGGGAAGCACGGAACAGACACGGAGAGATGGCAGACAAGAGAACATGCATCCTCAGAAACAGAAAGAGAGGACAGAGCACTAGAGAAGGAAAAGGCAAAAGAGAACATGCTAGGTGGCAAAATACAAAGTTCACGAGGGCAGGACTCTGGCAGGCAGCTTGGCTACCACGTCTCCGTTTACAACCTGCTCCATTGCCTTTTGCTACCACAGAGGCTGGAAGGTAACACACTAAATTTCTCAGCTTCCCTTGCAGGTAGGAGCAGCCATCTGACACATTCTGAGAAATAGCCAGGAGTTCCTCTGAAAGGTGTGCTTTCTCCAATAACAGGGCAATGGCTTGCCAGGAGAAAGTCCTTGATCCTCTCCCCTTGCTCCTCCTTCTTGTCTGGAGCCCAGATGTGCTACACAGAGGGGCAGCCACTTTCTTGTGACCATGAGGCAACTAAAATGAGCACAGTGGGCCAGATGTGGTGACTCTTGCTTGTAATCCCAGCACTTTGGGAGCCCAAGGCAAGAGGATGGCTAAAGTCCAGGAGTTCGAGACCAGCCTAGAGCAACATAGCGAGACTTCATCTCTACAAAAGATAAAAATATTAGCCTGGTGTGGTGGCACACACTTGTAGTCCCAGCACACTGGGAGGCTGAGGTGGGAGGACTGTTGGAGCCCAGAAGTTCAAGAAAAACCTGGGCCACATAGTGAGACCTTGTCTCTACAAAGCCTCAAAGAAAAAATTAGCTGGGCGTGGTGGTGTGCTGTTGTCCCAGCTATTCGGGAGGCTGAGGCAGAAGGATCACCTGAGCCCAGGAGGTCGAGGCTGTGGTGAGCCAAGATTGTGCCACTGCACTCCAGCCTGGGTGGCAGAGCAAGACTCTGTCTCTAAAAATAAAAATAAAAAAAAGAAATAAAATAAGCACTGTGATTTTGGTTGCAACTATGCTTGCAAGCTTGGCAGAACAAAAATGTGGGAAGAGTTCAGATTGTTCATGATATCTTTAAGCTGTCATGCCAGCCATGGGCTTCTTATTGTGAGAGAGAAAGAAGCCTCTGTCTATTCAAGCACTCCTAACCAATCCAGGAAACTGACCTATTTTGTTGACTATTGTTATCCAGTGCAGGAACCGTACCAGGCACAAAGGTGGTGCGCTTTAAAAATGTTTAGATGAGTGAATAACTTTCATACTCCCACAAAGCCTAGCTTGACTTTCCGCAGCTGGTTCTGAGAGGCTCCCCACGTCCCCCGCTGACCCACCCACTTTACTTTAACCAGATTGACTGGGTCCCTTTTCTTGCAGTCTTCCAATGAAGGCACAGAGGTGGCAGAGATCCGGTTAGGATGTGAGGGCTGAGCAGAGGGTGGGCCTTGGGACAGGTGATCTAGATGACATCATGGTCTCCACACTGGTCTCACTCACACCCCCTCTGTCCTTTCTCCACGTGGCAGCCAGACCAGGCATTTAAAAGCAGAAATCAGATCACACCCTTCCCTACTTAACATCTCCCCACCCCCTGGCTTCACACTGCTCTTAGAATAAAGTTCAAGTTGGGCTCGGTGGGCTCAGCTTGTAATCACAGCACTTTGGGAGGCCGAGGCGAGTGGATTGCCTGAGCCCACGGGTTCAAGACCCGCCTGGGCAACTTGGCGAGACCTCATCTCTACAATAAATCAAAAAATTAGCCGGGTGTGGTAGTATGCGCCTGTAGGTCTGGCTACTTGGAAGGCTGAGGTAGTAGGACTGCCTGAGCCCAGCAGGTTGACGCTGGGGTGACTGTGAGTGTGTCACTGCAGTCCAGCCTGGGTGATAGAGTGAGACTTCAATTAAAAAAAAAAAAGAATAAAAGTCCAGCAGGGCATGGTGGTTTATGCCTGTAATCCCAGCACTTTGGGAGGCAGAGGCAGGAGGATCACTTGCGTCCAAGAGTTCGAGACCAGCCTAGGCAACACAACAGACCTCATCTCTACAAAAAAATCAAAAAGTTAACCAGGCATGGTGGTGTGCCTGTAGCCCCAGCTACTCGGAAGGTTGAAGTGAAAGGATGGCCTGAACCCAGGAGGTCAAGGCTATAGTAAACTGTGATTGTGCCACTGCCCTCCAGTCTGGGCAACAGAGTGAGACCCTGACTCAAAAAAAAAGTCCAGCTCTGACCTCTGGCCTCAGGGGCAACAACACAGATTCTGTCCTCATCTACCCTCTCACCTCAACTTTCCACCTTTCAGCCACACTGAACTTCTTGCTGTCCTTTCAATAAACCACAACCCACCTGCCTCAGACCCTTTGCACATCTTGTTCCCTTTGTCTGCAAGGCTCTGCCTCCTGGAGTCTACCTGGCTAACTCCTTTACCTCCAGGGCTCTGCTCAAATGTCTCCTCCAAGACACCTACACTGAAGACCCTGCTGTAAATTTCCTAGCCCAGCCATTGCTTTCTGGAATGATCTAGCTGATTTTGTTTGCATGTTTATTGTTCATTTCCCATCTCTAGACCCTAAGTTGCCCGAGGGCAGGAATTGTGGTCTATTTGTTCACTGTTTGGCATAGAGCAGGATAAGAAAATAAATGTGGCTGGGTATGGTGGCTCATGCCTGTAATCCCAGTACTTTGGGAGACAGAGACTGAGGTCAGGGTTCAAGACCAGCCAGGAAACTTGGCTAGACCTCATCTCTACAATAAATAAAAAAATTAGCTGGGTGTGGTGGAATGCGCCTGTAGTTCCAGCTACTTGAAGGTGGAAGGATCGCCCAAGCCCAGCAGGTCAAGGCAGCGGTGGCTGAGAGGGTGCCACTGCACTCCAGCCTGGACAACAGAGTGAGACTCCCAACTCAAAAAGAAAAAAAGAAAAGAAAAGATGTGCACTGAAGGACTACATAAATGAGGAAATGGTAAAGAGTAACTGTGCTCAACTTTGTTGTAATCTTGAGCTGCACTTGGGAGCCTGAAATTAACTTTAACCCTATGATTTGGGAAATGGATGTAAACAAAATAAAAAATCCACAATCCAAGTACTGATTCCAGTGAGTTCAGATCTAATGATACTAATAATATCAGCAAACACCTACAGTGTGCCATGCACTGTTCTGTCTCGCATAGGTTAATTCTTATGATTATTAGTATGGGAATACTCTTGTAATTCCCATTTTACAGAGGAGGAAACAAAGGTACAGAGAGATTAAGAAACTTGCCCAAGGTCACAAAGCCAAGAAGGGGCAGAGCCAGGATTTGAGCCCTGGCATTCTGGTCCCAGAATCCATCCCTACTGTATCCCTGAAAACATCACAAGGACCCTACTCCCAGAATGGGGAGTCAACTCCCACCCTCAGTGACTTCCGCCCTCCTAGCTGACCCATCCCCGGCTGACCCACCCCTGGCTGACCTCTGGGGCTGATGGATGAACCCTGACCCCTTGCCATCTTGAGCATGCGCAGGGCCCCCAGCGGTCCCCCCTTCCCTGCCCGAATCTGCGCTGACCCTGCCTTGAGCTGAGTGAGTGCTTCCTCTACGCGGGGCTGGTTGTAGCGCACCATGTAGCTGTGCATGTCGGGATAGTTGCTGCGGATATTCTTCTCCGTGGACCCGTTGGGTACAGTTCCAAACTTCAGGGGCGGGTACTGCTCCTGGGGCCGCTGGAACTGGGGCAGAAGGGGAAGTTATTAGGGTCCCCTTCCTGGGGACATCCCTCACCCGTATCCTTCATTCTGGGGGTCACATGCCATCAGGCAGACACCCCAGGCTCAGAAGTGTTTCTCAGACTTGCTCACCACACTTTTCTGACCCCACCCAGCATGCACAGTAGCAGATGGGTGGTCCAAAGGGTCAAAAGTCACAAGAAGCCTCTTAGAGGTCCCCAATGTGCCAGGCATGAAGCCTTAACTTGCTGGAGCATGGGAGGTCCCAGGGGCAGGGACTGGGGACAGTTGTTTACTGATCCATTCAGAAATAGCTCACTATTTCAGCAACAGATGTAGCCAGGTGGTGTGTGCTGACTCAGGGTCAGGTGCATATATGACCAAAACAAGTTTCATAAAACCATACTCAAACTTACTATATAAGATGCAGCCAGCATTTATTCTATTCCTCTCCATTCCATTCCATTAAAAAAGGCTGACTGGGCACAGTGGTTCATGCCTGTAACCCCAGCACTTTGGGAGGCCGAGGCGGGAGAGTTGCTTGAGCCCAGGAGTTCAAGACCAGCCTGGGCAACATAGCCAGACCCTATCTCTATGAAAAAAAAAAAAAAGCTTATTGCAACTCATTGAGTTGATTTCGCAATCCTGAGTCTCCGAGTGTGTGCTGCAGACCCCCAGTACTTGAAAAAACTGAGGTCACAATGAGGTGAATACAGACATGGAGAGAGTGAGTGCTCAGAGCAATTTGATGGAATTGTTTTACATCTGTTGAATCTAATAAATAAAAATTTGGATTTGACTTTTGTATGTCTTGATTTAAAAATCTCACTTTACTTTTCTAGTATTCATTTCTATTGTATTGGACCAAAACCACTGGTCTCCAATGGATTAGAAGTTTCAAAAACACATTCATTACAGTTTGAGAGAAGCTTTGGTCTAGAATATCCCATTTGGCACTGCTGCTCCTAAGAACATTTGGAGTGAGGCACGGTGGCTCACACCTATAATCCTAGCACTTTGGGAGGCTGAGGTGAGAGGATCGCCTGAGCCCATGGGTTTAAGACCAACCTGGGCAACCTGGTGAGACCTCATCTACAGTAAATCAAAAAATTAGCCAGGCATGGTGGTGCATGCCTGTAGTCCCAGCTATATGGAAGGCTGAGGTGAAAGGATTGCCTGAGCCCAGCAGGTCAAGGCTGCAGTGGCCGTGAGCATGCTACTGCACTGCAGCCTGGGTGGCAGAGTGAGAAACTGTCTAAAAAAAAAAATGTGGGTGGGGTGCAGTGGCTCGAGCCTGTACTAGCACTTTGGGAGGCCGAGATGAGAGGATTGCCTGAGCCCACAGGTTTGAGACCAGCCTGGGCAACTTGGCTGGTCAACTTGGTAAGACCTCATCTCTACAATAAATCTACAAAAAATTAGCCAGGTGTGGAGGTCCACGCCTGTAGTTTCAGCTCCTTGGAAGGCTGAGGCAGAAGGATCACCTGAGCCCAGCTGGTGTAGGCTGCGGTGGCTGTGAGCATGCCACTGCACTCCAGCCTGGGCAACAATCTCAAAAAAAGGAAAAAAGAAAAAAAATTGGGGTTTGCCTTTTGTATGTCTTGGTTTAAAATCTCATTTTACTTTTCAGTAATTCATTTCTGTTCTATTTTTCAAAACTATTGTTCTCCAATGGATTAGAAGTTTCAAAAATCACATTCATTACAGTTTGAAAGAAATATCCCATGGATCTAGAATATCCCATTTGGCACTGTGGCCCCTAAGAACATTTGGGGACACCCTCATTCCCTGGGAATATTTAAATGTTCACTGTGAAACATATCCTTTTTCCTTTCTGAACAATCCATTCTACCATTCTGGAATTCTCCTTGGGAAGAGACCCTGATGCCAAGTTCTGTGACCTCCAAGCTCTGTGACACATGCTCACCACCCACCCCCCCGCCCTCACACACACCTTGCGGTCACTGAGTCCTGACACGGTGTCCACGTACTCTTCCTGGATCATGAAGGCAGCCAAGTTGGCTGTGTAGCTGGCGAGGAAGATGACAGCGAAGAAGGCCCACACCAGCACCATGATTTTGCTGGTGGTTCCCCGGGGGTTTTCCACGGGCACTGAGTTATTGAACACCAAGGCCCACAGCAGCCAGATGGATTTCCCAATGGTAAAGGTTGAGCCGCCAGGACCTGCAGGGGGCCCGGACAGGGACATAGACCCCAAATCCCTTCTGCTCAATGAGGGAGCAGAATGAACTACAATTCCCAGTGGCCTCCTTGGCCTCTGGTGCCTTGAGAGGCCGTAGCTCTACCCCCAGGGGCTGCTGGGAAATGTAGTTCTCTATGTGGCCAAGGTGTTCGGAGGCAGGGGGATGGGGAAAGGGGACTCACGCTTGCCGGTGGCTAGGCTGCGGTTGTAGCCCACAGGACTGAGGTACTCGAAGATGAAAACGGTGACAGCGACCACAGTGAGGCACATGACGAACATCATCACCCACACGGCAGGGCTGTAGGGCTCTGAGGACAAGGAGGCGTGAGGTCATGGCTCAGCCAAGCAAAGGATTGGGGGGACCACAGGCATGTGAATGAAGTGGAGCCCAGAGGTGCCCCATCCTGTCCCTTTCCCTAGCTCCCCAGCTTTCAGACAGGCCAATGGCCCTCTCAGACACCAGGGAGACAGATAGTCACAGAGAGGCATTCCTGTGGTTTCAACCACCAAATATAAACTGTCTCCTGGCTGGTTTAGGTGGCCCATGCCTATATTCCCAGCACTTTTGGAGGTTGAGGAGGGAGGACTGTTTGAGCCCAGGAGCTTGAGACCAGTCTGGGCAACATAGCAAAACTTTGTCTCTACAAAAAAAAAAAAAAATCTAAAAATTAGCCAGGTGTGGTGGCATATGTCTTCAATCCCAGCTACTCAGGAGGCTGAGGTGGGAGGACTGCTTGAGCCCAGGAGTTGAAGGCTGTGGTGAGCTGTGATCGTGCCACAGCACTTCAGCCCAGGACACAAAGTGAGATCACCGACTTAAAAAAAAACATAAAAACAAACAAATTTCAACTGTCTCCTAAATGTTTTCTGGGCCCCAGACCCGAGTCTCCATTCCCCTGGCCATCCCCAGGTCATTTATCATGTCTCACACTGAGCCCATCTTGGGATCCCCACCATACATCCAGGCACAGGTCAAAACTCCATTTGTCATCCTCCCTCCCTCCCTCTCCTTCACCGGAGAAGAGCCTGTCAATGGAGCCTGTCAATCCTCAGCCCCTTCCTCCAGACTCTGATGCTACTTGGGACTCATTGCTCCACCCTCAAGGCCAATATGGCTCAGGCCTCATCTTCTCCCCGGGACATCTCCCCAGCCTCCTGCGCTCCAGCCTTTCCCCTCTAGCCCTTTCCTTCAGGTGGCCCAGAGACAACCCTTCCCTCCCCTGCTTAAAGCCCTCCATGGCTCCCTAGCACCCCGGGACAAAGTCCCTACCACTCAACCTCACCCCACCCTCCTCTCTGGCCTGACCACTCTCTCAAGCACCCATGCTCTAAACCAGTGGTTCCCAACCTTTTTGGCACAGGGACAGTTTTTGTGGAAGACAATTTTTCCATGGATTGTTGGGGAGTGGATGGGGGGAAGATGGTTTTGAGATTATTTAAGTGCCTAATATTTATTGTACACTTTGTTTCTATTATTGTTACATTGCAAAATACAGTGAAATAATTATACAACACACCATTAAAAAAAAAGAGGCACAGCCGGGCTCGGTGGCTCAGCCTGTAATCCCG